ATTCAATATTCGCCTCATCATTCCATTTACAATATCTTTTTCATCTCTTATTTTATTATTAGATTTATTATAACCATCATATCCCGCCATTAAGTATACAAAAAAACATATATATATCTATATTTACTTAATAAATTATTAAAAATACCAGTGCATTTTTAATTTGATTTAAGGGTACCATCCCTCTTTTTTTACCCTCTTGGGAACTCGGGAAGCCAATGTCGATCGGGTTCGAATTTATACCAGAGATAGAACATCGAAAAAGAAAATCGATGTATTTTTGGCTAGAATTTTGTGACATGTTCTTCTATGGGTTTTCTGGAAAACTGGAATTTCTATTGGCACACATTAGGACCCCCCCGAAAAAATGATCCAATCGAGCTCAGAATTTTGCCACAGATAAACAAGAATGATGTCTTTACAAGAATCATAAAGTGGTGACTTTGCGTTTACCAACTGCTATTTGTCTTTTTATGACAAAAATAGAAAAGGCATGATAAATTTTATTTTTCTCATTAGCTGAAGAAAAGGTGCCAATGACAAAAATAAAATTTAGGCAGAAATCACGTGGATTATGTCACCGCCAAAAAAGAAGTGAAGATGGAATAATAAGGAGCCCGCTGTCGGATTGACCAAGGAATTTTGCATCTGGCGCCCAATTTTTGTCTAATTTGGTTCAGCGTGGAGCGAGCACTAAACTTCCTAATGGAGCGTGTAAGGCATTCATTGTCAGAGGTATGAGACGTTTCAGAGCATGTAAGGTGATTTTCAGTGCGTGTAAGACTGATTTTGAGAGTGTGTAAGCACATTCTTAAGAGCGTCTAAGCAGGGAGAAGGCGGCCTAAATCAAGATAAAAACTAGTGACTCTTGGTTATAAACTGAAACTCCTTGTCTTTGAATGATAGCAGGAGTTTCACAAAAGGAAGTAAGGATTTATCGTTCCAATATTATTTTCCTTGTAATTCGGCTTTTCTTTCCATGCTAGTAGCTACCACTAGCGAATTGCAATCACTGTTTTGTTCTTCAACTAGTCAGCGCTGACATCTGTACCAGCCATTGGTATTTTATATCACGTAGCTTTTTTGGGTTATTGTTCTACTACAATTTCCATCGGAATTGGAATCACGTGCAGCATACAATCAGAATCGATATTTTCGACACAAATAGAGTTCTTTTCATATTTTTATTGGTGCATTTTTCAATGAATCATAACGTTTATCAATGAGACATATGTATATAGTTACTCGATTATTCGATACGCTGGGATTAAAAGCTAGACTGAGTTTTTCTTTACGTTCTGTGTATATAGAATAGTTGATTTATACGAGAAACATGTGGACAAAGTTCATTGAGCGCTTTTTATCTTGATCGCATTGTTCCACTAGAGAGTCACACAATTCCATGGTAGACGATAGAAATTTCCACTGCCAATTCTCGATGTTTTAGCCGGCTTATCACACTCCAGGTAATCACGACAGTCGTGAACACACTACTTATCTCGAGACGTATTACTATTTTCAACTATTATCCAATCTGCCTGGACTATTGTATAAAGTTGTCGGTGATTCTGTCACACTATCCGATTCCGAATGCTGCCAACTATCAAATAGAACCAGGAGGCGAGCAAAACTGCACAAGCAATGCTAACTCTTGAAGTGACCAATGAATTTTCTAAAGATAATAAGGCTACCGTTCATATGACACATTTAGATCACATTAGTGAACACAAACGATTGCCACAATTGTGTTTGATAAACATCTTTTAAAACCTGCTCAAAATAATAGGCGTCTGCAACTATTATTAGGCGATTTTAACTCATTGACGTTTAAAGATTATTCACAAAACTTTTGAGTGCCAGCGGCAGGTTTTTTTTATAGTTCACCGCGGTACGGTAGAATTAGACCTTGGTCACGGCGGCACAGCTTTTCCTTTCCTATGGACAAGGAATGGCAGCGGTACGTTTCCAGCCACAATGGGCACCGCTGTCTTGAACGTAAAGACTAGTTTTTAGAAAATATTTGGATACTCGAAGGATTTCTTAACATTATCAATCTTTATTGAAAGAACATATATGTTTTTTAGAACATGAACGTTAGATGAAATATTACTGTTCGATTTATTCGATTATAATTGATCTTGTTGGATAGCTTCTGGCAAAGACTGATTATTGGTAGTTCATTATATTTTTAGTACTGTTGATCTATTTTTCAGATCATAATGAGCAAAATTCTTCCACTCGTTAATATTGGATCTAAATCGGGTAAATTTAAATATATTCTTGCACAATTTGGACGTAAATATCTGATTCGTGCTGATCCAACAGTTGATTATCATGGTAAAACGATAAATTGTAAATATTTGTTATTTATTGTTATTTTATTTAAGATAAACTTTTGAACAAACTTGAGCAAGAAGCAGGTGGACCGTCACAAGATCTATCGATACTCGGTGGTGGAAAAATCCAAGTTGATTTTGAAAAGAAAAGCATTAATCTATTTGGACAATCAGAAGTATAAAAATCTTATTCTTCATTCTAAAATCTCGTTATTTTTTGTTTTGTATTAGGCATATGGTGCTGCTGATCATACAAGATCGAAGACAATACTTCAAGAAACATATCCTAATTTTACCATATCAATTGGTGAACCTGATTCTGGTCCTAAGAAATGAAATCTACTGATGATATGATGAAATGATTTTATTGTACTAAGTAGTCTAGTTTTAACCTTTCTTTGTTTTTAAAATAAACTCTAACCAAGCAAAAAGAAAGAAAATAATATACAAATGTGACCACATACTGGATACGAAAATAAATACAACAGTCATTGCACGTCATACAGATGTAAGCAGTTTTCACGATGATTGTGACATTACTGTTTTATTTTGTCACATCTGATACACAGTACATTGTGCACACTCAGTCTGTTTTCTTTCGAGTCATCTTGGCTGAAATTGACGATTCTGAATTAATCAATTCATCAGATTTACCAAATGATCAATAATTCGAAGTAATTGATGTAAATGATAAATTTATAGCTCTGTCAAGAAGTACCATAGGGATGAACCAAGAGAGGGTATTGTACTACTCGTCAGAGCCTTTTTAACAAAGTAGTTCTAACACGAAACTGATTTACCGCCTCGCATGATTCCCGAGTTAGTATAAATACATTGAATACTTAGTGATATATTTATGTAAACTAGGAATGATTTGGGAAGAGCAGTTTTAATAATAGAATAGACAAAGGAGTACACGACTGCTATAAAGATCATTTTTGAATTTTAACAGCATTCACTTTAGATTTTATTATTTAAGCTTTTGACAACGCACTGTTGGCATCGTTAGAAAGGGAGTGATGGAAGGACGCATGATGGACATTGAAAAGTACACTATGGCAAGTTTTTTTACTTCAAAGAAACGTTTGATCCCATAACGGAGATTTCTTAAATTTTTCATTTATGGAATTCAAAATCATCCAGCTCAAATGTGTCCTCTTCAAAATGAGAACCAAACGCGACTTTCATTTCCAGTGGTTTGGGCATGTTGTCGAATTTCCTCAAAAGTGTCAAAACTCGTTGCCGACGGCTATTGGTGACCACGGAAAGGAGTAGACCATAGATAATCAATCATGCTGAGTTTTATGGTAATATTATAAATTTAAAACCTTGTAAAAACCACATTTTTCGAAAACTAAGGTTTTCATCTAATATCGAAATTTATTCAAAAACTATCAGAGCGAGTAAATTCCTTTTTGTAGAGTTTTTATGAGTCGAATATAAAATAGTCTAAATGCTATACATTCTGAAGTTTCCAACTCGTTCTGGTGATTTTTGAATAAGTGGTGAATAAATAACGTCACGTTCGGTGTCCATTTTAGGTTGACGAAAGTTGGCTCAAATACTAAAGTTAATACGGGGAAGAAAATGTAAAAAGAATTCTCCAATATTTCAAGTAGTTTTTCTTCCGGTAAAAAAGGGTTAAAATGCAACAATAACAAAAATTTCTTTTATCGAACTATGCATAAACAAGGGTTGTCATCTTAACACTTTGAGTCCCAAATTTTTTTTGTTGGTTTGAACGTAATTCGTAATTCTCAATTTTTTCCACCAGAACTCAACTTTTATGCAATAAAAATATCATATTCGGAATCAGGATGAAAAAATGAATCGACTGATGTGTATCCCTATCCTATTCGAGTACTTTAGTTTTTTTCGAATTTTCACGTTGAA